ATGTGCTCACCAGACAGACAGAGACATAGAGACAGAAAGCGAGAAATCACCCCCCAGGGGGGATGGTCACACCGCAATCCCTTCTCCTCCATTCTCCTCTCGGGATCTTGGGCACACACGCACATGAGCCTGGCGTGAGTTTTAAGCCACTGGGTCTGCAACGTTAACCGCAGTCAACTACGTGGGAGTTCAGCAACATAGCCATTACGCTAACTGCTGGTTCCCCTGCCCTCCCCCTTTTTAAAGAGAGATTTTTGCTATAGGGCATGTGCACTTGCCAGAGAGACAGAGACACAGAAAGTGAGAAATCACCCCCCAGGGGATGGCCACGCTGCAATCCCTTCTGTTCAACATCTCCCTCCTTTCGGGATTTTGGGCAGGCACACACTCACGCCTACTCTGCATATTTCTCAAGCCACCAAGTCTGGGACTTGAACTGCATAGTTGACCATGTAGGATCCAGCGGCTTTAGTCACCATGCTACCAGTTGGCCCAGAGGGAATTTTATTTAAGCCAGTACTCTAAGCATCAGATATGGCCCCCACTAAAATCTTCTGCAGAGAAGTAATTGCCAGATACACGTCTCAGTCAGAAACCAATTCCTACTTCTGACAGCAGAGGGCAGTAGCTCCCCAGGAACTGCGGCCCCAAGCGTGGCCGCCATCAGCGAATGACAGTCTGGACACTGCCACTGACACCTTTCACTGTGAATGGCTCCTTAAGGCATTCATGCTTTCATTCCCACGTGACTGATCATGGCTCACACCCCACCCTCGTGGCTTGGAGAAAACCCACCATTTCTTCTGCCTCATGTTTTCTCCTTGCTTCTTTCATTTATTCCATGGCAGAGACAGTGAGAGGCAGAGACTGAGAGACAAGCACCCGGACAGAGTCTTCATGGGATGATCCGCGCCATCTCAGCAGGCCTGGGTCACAGTCGTGGGCGTGCACCCCAGAGCTCAGGGAGGTCCCTGAGTTTCCAAACAAGGACTTTCCTGGAAGGATCCAGTTGCGTCTACACGGTGCCCTGAAGTGAATAACGCCATTTCTGTCTCCCAAATGAAGACAAGTAGAAACAGATGCCTCTGCAGTGGGGGTTAGGGAAAGGCTCTCCGTCGGAGGCTAGAAAAACTGGGATTTGAATGTCAGCTGCCTGTAAGGGACTAGCAGATGGAGTAATGAATGACTACCTCACTGGGCTCCCACATGGCTGACCACAGTCGAGACCTGGAGACTTGAAACTCACGCTGGGTGCGTGTGCGTGCGTGCCCAAGATCCCAGGAGGAGAATGGAGAAGGGGCTGTGGTGTGGGAGGTGACCTCTCGCTTTCTGTCTCTGTTTTCTTTGTCTCTCCAGCGAGTGCATGCACCCTATAGCAAAAATCTCCTAAAATAAAAAGAAGAGCTGCCCGTGGAGGCGGCAAGCTTAGCTCACTGAAGCTGACATGGGCGTGACGCGATGGCTGGCAAGAGGGGAGCCCCGCTCAGCGGGCGAAGCATCCAGCCATCCTTCTCGAGCGTGTCTGCCTCACAATCCCGTCCATGGTCTTCTATTCTAACACCTGGCCCTGTGCGCTCCTTCACGCAGGCCGCAGGTCTCCTGCACCGGCGCTCAGCCATCCGGTTAGTTTTTATGCTTTCTAAGTGCCCTTGCTTGCGATTCTGCATGGTGAGAAATGGTTTGACTTCTGACTCTCACTTTCATGATCTTTGTTATTGGAGATAAAAACTGCACCCCAATGACTAAAGCGAATACGAAACCACTAAGTGACTGTGACCATGTGCTCTTGGCGCTGAACAGGCAGCCGGCTAAAGTGTGGGTGTGTGTGGGTGTAGGGGGTAGAATCTTGGTAATAGCTGAGCAGTACATTCCTTCCTTT